TGCGTGCTGGGAAAGCGGAGAGACTACAGAAGGCTGGTTCCTTTCGTTACCAGTATTGGGAATTCTTAACTTGAATCTCTCTCTCATAATTTCTTGTTGTGTAAATGCAATGTATATACACATCAAGAGCAGTTTTGTAGGTAGTCTTCATTCATATTTTTAGTACTGGTAACCATTCATATTCAAGCTTGGCAACTGTAAATATATTTTCTTACGGATCATTGAGATCCCACAGTGGTCGGAGAAGGAATGAAACATTCTTTAAAAGGGTGTAGAAACTCAATGAGATTCATAGCTGAGTCAGGATCATTGAGTCAGGATCGAACTCTCCATGAGATTCATAGTTGCATTACTTATAGCTTCCTTGTTCGTAAACAAACAAAGTTAATGGAAAATTTAAAAGTTCAATGGTCTGTTAGCCACTTTCTACCGACGGTAGGCTAAATTTGTAATTTGTTTATAATTTGGCTTCCCAAAATAAAAAAAAATAAATAAAGAATTGAAGAATTTGCTTTAAAATTTAAACCAAGAGAGAGGATTGCAACCTACCTATGCCTAAATTGAGTAAACCCAAAGAATTAATGATATTAATTAGAACACTTAAACTAAAATGAATGTTAAGTACAAGGTTTTAGTATCTCTTGTTCATTAAATTAAAATAATATATTTAAAATTAAAAAAAATAATAACAAATATCTGAAAATTAGTTTATTGAGAATGAAGAAGAACGGCATATAAAAAACCTGAATTTCGTCGAAATATCCCCAAATGCTATTTCCCCCAACATATTTCTATGGCTTTCTTCTCTATTCCTAAACTTCATCTTCAACCTAACATGCCTCTTCCTGATCAACCCCGCTCCGATTCTCCTTCTCCGGTGCCATCGATCACATCCTTCCGCCGCGACGAATTCCCCAACCCCATGGATTTCAACCCTTTTGCCACCGTCCCCTCCATCGTCACTCCTCCCGACGATTCCCTCCGTTTTGAGACCGATTGGTTCTCCGACACGGATTCCGACTCCGAACGCGATGTCAGTTGCTTGGTGACTGATCTTTTTGAGAATCATCGCTTCACCGATCATTTACTCACTCTCAGCAATCACGATCATGATCTGGATTCTGGGCCGGACCCATTTACGCATTCTGCAAACGACTTGGGAATTTCGGGGTTTGAAGATAGCGGTGACATTGAATCGAACTATACTGAGGAGCTGTGGTCGACGTTTGCTGTGGAATCTGGTAGCCGGGTTTCGGAGGTGGATGTGAGCATGCAAGTTGCGGATTCGATTAATAGTGACCTTCGGGTTGTTGATGTAGATTCGGACACGGATTATGATAATGGAATTATCGGTGCTCTGCAATTTGTGACAGGGGATGATGGCGAAAATGATGTTAATTGGGTTGAAAGTCCGAATCCTCTCTCAGATAACTTCAGCTTTTGCTTTCAGCAGAGGAATTCGTACGAGGATTTTGAATGGGAGGAGGTTGAGGAACGGGTGGACGAAAGGGAAATTTCGAGCGTAGTGGTGGAGGGAGCCGAGGAATTGACCCTTGCATCTGATTTTTCCAATGATGAAGAATCAGGAGAAGAGGCGGGCCGATGGGAAATTTTATTGGTAATGGACGACATTGGGAGCAATACGAATTGGGAACGGGATAATGATGCTGAGGCGTACGTAGCCGACCAGGATGATTACATGTATGCAGCAGAATATGATGCCCTTTTTGGACAATTCGTTGAAAATGAGAACGCTTTGAAGGGTTGTCCTCCAGCAGCTAAGAGTGCTATGGAGAATCTTCCTCTGGTTGAGTTAAAAACAGAGAATATACTGACAGAGGAAGTGGTTATTTGTGCTGTTTGTAAGGATAAATTTTCAATGGAGGAGAAGGTGAGGAAGCTTCCTTGCTGCCACTATTACCATGATGATTGCATTCTGCCATGGCTGAATATCCGAAACACATGTCCTGTTTGTCGGTATGAGTTGCCCACCGACGATCCCGATTATGAGCGTAGGAAGAGTCAGAGGACCAGTGGTGGCCAGCAAACGGATTTGCAGGTCAGGTACAATTTTGAACTAATAGCTTAAGGTTAGGCAGTCTGTGAAGTGCAACCTGTGAATAGCGTCTCTTTTAGATGAAGAATGTTGCTTACGATTTTGCATCTGTAAAGGTTTTGTGGTAAGTACTTCTTTTTAACATTATCAGCATTGCTGTTGATACACTCTAATTATCTCAGGTATCCATTGTGATTCAATGCTTGGTAAGTTTTAGTCACCAATAGTAGTGGGGAATTATATTGTCTTTTAGCTTGTTGAATTCAGTTTAGTATTTGTAATGCTTAAGACAGGACATACTAATGATAATATTACTACTACAAGTTCTGGGCTTTGAATTGTGTAGTTGTGAAGTATTAAATTGTTTATATGCTTGAGTATCTGTTGGTAAACCTGTAAAAATGGGAACCTGAAGGCACTTTTTATCTTTCATGATATTGGTCCAAAGTGGGGATTTTATTAAACGAACTTTTTTTTGTGGAAAAAAAAAACTAAAGAAATGGCATTCCTCTTAACGATTACTGAAGTGTTGTGGAAGTTTTTTTTCTTTTTGGGGTATTATTGTGGGTTTCTTATTATGAAAGATTTTAAGAAGAAAAAAAAATCTTTTTTTTTTTTCAAACAACCCTCCATAGTCATAGACTCCTAAATTGTGGTGCAGTCGTGTGTATTCTTATTGTTCCATTCAAATTTTCTTAGAAATGCTTATATGAAATTTTATGATGGTTATTAGTTGAATCTCGGTGGCCTTGGGCAGTAGATTCAAGGAGCTTTGAAAATAGTATTCTTATTGTCATATATTTGTATGTAAAAAGGTGAAGTTTTATTTATTTATTTGTTTAACCAGAAACAAAGCTTTTCTCTCAAAAGATACAATGTAGTTTGAGCTTACTTGATAAATCAGGTTTGTGAGGTCAACAATGAATAAGTAGCAAATCATCAGTTTGCAGGCATTGCTCTTACATTGCCTCCTGTTGCGTTTTGGACTTCTTTCCTCTTTGTTTGGTTCGTTTGCATTTTCTTCATGGTCCATGTGGTGTTTGCTGCTGCTATAACGCCAGTGCACCATATAGACTAAGACATGAAACCGAGGGTGAAATAGCAGGGTTCTAATAACCACTTCAATCATTTATCCTCATACTTGCAATCTGGATTCTACTTGAGCTGTGCATGTGTGATTGATGGAAGATTATCTTTCTCATATTGATTTAAAAGTGAAGTTGAAAACATTGGAACTTTGACTACACACAATTCTGCAATTTCACCCTGGTTTATTTCTTGGTGTATTGTTGGGAACTCTGCGATTGAAGTTGGTTGGCGGTATTCTTTCCAGGTTTGAGATCGTGAGCATATGAAACCCAGTTAGTTTTATCCGTATTGGTTATGAAGTTGTTTGCTGTGGCTAATTTCTTTGTAAATTTCAGGTTTCTGAGGAGTAGTACGGTTATATTATTCGAATCACCTTCATTCAAATTAGATTTTGATTTCATCCATGTTTTCACATCCTAGATTGCATTCTCTTTTCAGGTTCTTGGAACATGCCATTATTGGAATGATATTTTTTTTTTTTATTTCACCCATCAATCATATCTTTTACCGATGGTTAATACATTGAGATTGATTCAACAAAGGGTCCTATTTGAATGATTATGAACACTTCTCAAAATATGTTTTTGTTATTACTTGTCTCAACCTGGAAATTTTTCTTGAGGGCAAGAAATCATTCCCTTATGGATCTTCATTTGATAATTGATGCCATTGAAGATGTGTTGGGTGCAATTCCACCCATTTTCATCAACACATATTGATCTTATCATTGGTGTACTACTTTAGATCATTCTAGTTTGGAAATGGTTGGATGAAATTCTCTCCAACCTTCTATCTTTTGTGATTCTTGTAAATTCTCATCATGGTTATATGTCGATAGAAGCGTTTTTCCTCGATGATTCGCAGACAGATGAAAACTTGAATTAGGTTTGGACCAGTAAATGGGATAAAGCTAGCAAAACTCAGTAAATCAAAAGTATAGTGCTTTTAATAAATGTGGTTGTCAAATTAGACGAAGGAGACTTGATATGTTTAACTTACATAAGAGGGCGTCTACAAAACCAACTTTAATGCCAATTCTGCATATGCAAATCAAGCAAAACCAAAATATGTGAAAGTGAGAATTAATGCAATAATGCTACAATATTGCATGATCCCTCTAGATGAGTGTTATTTATAGAATGAAATGATCAATCCTCTTTTAGAGCATTACATATGAGCGTAGGTAGATGGGCTATCAATAGCGCAAGATATTGTAAAGATTTTCTTGGATCTAGGAATCATGACATCAATAAAACTTTAGAAAATCAAACGAAATCATATCTCTTAAGAACTCAATGAGAGACATCAAGAACTTTAAAAGAATGAACCTCGACAAGTTTAAGAAGCAAACCTATAAAAAAACCAATGTATACCATTGTTTTTCACTTAGGTTCAAATAGATTGTAAAGATATGTGGAATAAAAACCTCTAAAACTCCATAAGAAACCTGGGCAAGAAGATGAAGTGGTAGCTATCATGTTAAAAGTTGCCAAAGTGTTATTGTAGTTATCCTCAAAATCAGTAGTGGATTAGGACTTTAATCCAAGTTTTGGTGAGCAAACGAAATGTCCTAAGTGATTGTCTTAATCCGAATTTTTTTAAAAAAAATGCTCTACCACTACTTTAAATGCACTTCTCAACATCATGAATTAAAAGCACATACATTCATTGCACATTCTAATATGGAAATAGAATAAATCACATAAAAGTTCATAGTTTATTACTTCAATGAGTTAATCTATTAGTGTGCATAATTGAAGCAAGAAAACGATGGGCACAAAAGACAAAAGAGAAATTCTAATGCTTCACTCTCCTCGAACATCAAATTGTAAAAAATAAAATCGAGACATGTTTCTTTGGCACAAAAGATGTATATTCATCGAAGAATCGAAGAACAACATAAGAACATATGAGTCAGGTAGAGAGAATCATACTCAAAGAACTAAAACACGAGTCATCCAATCGTTAATAATCATCAAAAAGCCTATGACTACAGAAGAATTTGTGTGGTTTGTAAACCATCAAAGCCAAAAAGAAGACAGCTTTATCTTTGATGACTGATTGATTCTTTTCTTTCCAAAGATTGTACAGTGGAGTGCGAGTAGCACATCTCCATAAAACCTTTTCCTTTCAAGCCACAGCATTTTTGAGAGCCAATCATCCACCCTTTTAAAAAGGCACACAGCCACCCTGAACTCATTTAAGACCACCCATTTGTGCCCCAAAAGAACAGTGTTCAATAGAGGAAGCTTCTGTAACACAAAAACTACTACAGTTCAATAAATGATTATAATTAGAGGAAAATCCTTCAAGAACACACTCAAATGTTCATTCACCTTGTTGAATTTTCCAATAACAAATCATCCTCTTGTATTCTTTTTCCTCACTAAAGTATATGAGAGGGAATGGGCTGAAAAAGAAACGGTTAAAGATGGTTTGTGAAAGAGGAAAAAAGCAAAGAAAATTGGTGATTTGTAAGATGAACACTATAGGATCAATTTGAAGGAATAGAAAGCCAACAAGCATCTAAATAAGACAGCCACAATAAAGATGATTTGGGCATTTTCCTCTCTCTTTCTATCTAAATTAATCATCAAATTATACTAGCCAACAAAGCTCCAATAATGTACATTTTGGACTCTATCCTATACTTTATAGGACACCCACCACAAGAATTTGTATTGAGAGAGAGAAAGAGAAAGAACATCACCAAATGCCATTCAACAAATACACAAATTGAGGTTGCTTTAATGGGGTGCATTGAAAAGTTACCCATTTTGATATACCAATATTTTTTGGCTCTCTCTCTCTCTATAGAATTCTTTTCAAAAAAGAAAGCTTGAATTGACAAGATGAGCAATAGGAGGGCAAGATGTAGAGGGTGGTGGCACTAACCCACGCGCACTTTGTCCCACAAATTGTCACCTATCATCACCCTCTCCCTCTCTCTATTGTCTTTATCTTTCTATTTGTTTGGCTTTCTTTTTTTTTTCCCCTACTTCCTTTGCTTACTCCATCTTTCTTAACATAATTTTATTTCCCAATCAGTTTCTTTTCACTTTGTATATAATGCATCAGTCCAAGTACTTTTAAGAAAATATATATTAGTCCACACACAATTGGTTCTTAAAGTTTCAAAGAGTATAGGGGAAAAGAAGAAAAGGAAGGTTGATAAATAAGTTTTATGTATATTTACTTGATGTTAGCTTTTAGTGAGATTAAAAAGCTCCTAATGGGTTGAATCATTTAGTTAGGTCAGATTGTGAGTTTTTTAAATTTTGTAACATTATATGGTTGGGTTGGGGTGTTAAGTTTATCTTAAGTTATAAGTTGAGTGTATATTTGATGTGTAGATTGACTTATCTCAAACGACTAGTTAGTTAAAAAGCTGATTGTATAACTGTAACCTATTCCTTCTACACTACAAACCCATAATTTACAATCTCAAGTTGATTAAAGCCCTAAGTCAAATATCTAATCAGACACTGTCAACGAAGAACATTTTTCATCTTCCAAAGTCTTCTCGAGTTCACCCATAATTCGGGTGGTGACTCGAACCTCTAACGTCCTAGTCGAGGATTTATGTCTTAACAAAGTGAACTATATTTACGTTGACTTCTTTCCTTTACTTTAAAGTTGTGCCAAAGTTTACGAATTTGTTTAAAAGGCAAAGGACATGATAAAATTATTGAGTACCACTCCATAGGACAACATCGTATATAAATATCCACATGATGTACACTACAAGTACAATTGCAAAACTGACAAACCAGCAGTGAAGTTTCTGATACAATTGGACAAGAAAACTTACTGAAATCTGTACTTCCCTACATATCTATCAGCGTCCTACACAAATCTCAGGACACTCACAAGTGAGTGAAGGAGAGAGAAAGAGACAGAAAGAAAGATCATGGTCAAAATCTTTGTAATGACAATGTTGACTAAGCAGTCCACTCAATCAGACAAGAGCCTCAAGATGTGGGGAAGCAGCATTTTTTTTTTTTAAGTTCTCTTTTCTCCAGTAAAGATTGTGGTATTACATGATTCAGAGAAAATCTCTTTATTAAGTGGAAGACTAACTTTCAAAGCAAGTACACAATTACTTGCGAGTGTAGCTATTCCTTACACAAATCAGACAAGCTTTTCCACTCTGAAAGCAACTTTTTACCTTGCTGAGTGAGTGTGGTTAGGACCTCAGCTACTCTCTATGTCTTTTAGCAGCTAAAAAAATGCGACCCCAGTTCCACCAACAAGCTCAGATTTGACCAGATTTTAAAAATAACATGCTTGAATGAAGCAATCATACATGGTTGGCCATTATAATTTTTTGGCAGCTCGACATCGAGCAACTCTGGCATCTAGTGTCCCTTGCTCGGACCACAAAACTTGACAACGATTGAAACAACAAGACTAATTGATGAACTACGGTTAGAGTTTATGAGTAAAAATCTTACTTTTCAAAAATCATCAAGTCAACAATATCATCATAAAAGATTTATACAAAGCAGTGCCGGGGTGTCGACAACTTTTACGTGACAAAGTTTAAATCGATTAGGACTATTATGATGAGGGACGACGTTGAGGTTACCTTTGTGTCTAGATCTCTATCAACTTTGGGAATTCATATACCATGTAAAATTTCCTATATATTTTGAGAAGACAATGCAATATTTACTACTTTCATACAATCAAAGAGCATGAATGTATAGCCTCTCTATGGATAAAGAAGACAAAGATATTAATTACAGAAAAGTGCCTCCTTTCACCTCAACTTTAAAATTTTGTCCTCATGATGAGGTCGCAGTAGTTTTCATTGTGCTAAACAAATATACATTACGCCACGGTAAGAAAGCAGTGGTTAGAAAATATTGGCCTTTCTCTAATTGTTTAAGGAGTAATCTGAGACACAATAAATACTTGAGCACTCTGTTTCTCTCAGCAGTGTTTTCAAATCTAGTCCTTTTCATAGACACAATAAATAAGCCTCTGCTTATCTATCTTTTAAAAACTTAATATAATATGATAGTTAGTACCTTGAAAATTGAAGTTTTTTCAGCTACTTCTGCCTTTGTAGTGATATCCTCCCTCCTCTTCTTTCTCCTTTTCTATCTTTTTGTGGGAAGGTGGGAGAAGGTTTAGTATGCATTTAAAATTGTGGCCATTATCTTTATTTATTGCTCTGAAATTTCTAGGATATGTATAAATGATTGGATCAAATTGCACTAAATACAACCAAAATGCACATGAAGGGGGAACAGTATCAGGTAAGAGATGGCATCAGGATCAATTTTCATTCCTACAGTTTTATCCCAAAAGGATAAGATGGTAAAATCATATTAAGAGCATTGTGCTCCAAACCTTTACGATTCAGCACCAAGAAGAAAAAGACCTACCTATAACCCTCCCTTTAGTGCTATGATTGGCTCAATCTCAGCTATGAGATTCAGGGAGCAAGTGGACCAAAAATACAAGCTCCTGAATAGGGATGCGAAAAAGGGCTTTGCTTGCCTTGTCCATCTTCCTTTTGCTTACATCACTAGATTGAATTGTCTACAAGAGATTTATTCTTTCTTTTTTCATTTCATATCAACTTCTCGACATACTTTAATGTACCGCGCTTCTTTTCCTAATCATTCTACCATAATAATAATTATACTTCACACAATATGTTGCTTTCTCTGATGTAAGCAAGACATGCTATGAAAATTATTATCGCAAACACAATCAATTCTCATGTATTGAATCATGCATATATCACAAACACATACATATATGGAGTAGCCATAACGAGAAGGAAGATACACGGACATAGTAGAGTACCTGGACGTTCTCGTGACATGAAAAAAAAAAGCAGCTGTGCCATAATAGGATATAGACATGGTCTGCATGGTATTCCAGAGATTCAAGCTCTGAGAAACTTTCTCAAAATCACTCCATGTTCCTGAAAGTGGGCCATTGGAACCTTTTACGTGCTATAAAGCACCTTCACCACCAAGCTTCCCACTCTCCTTAAACATAGGCTTCTTCCCTTCCAATACCCAAGCAAGCTTTCAACAATCCCTGAAAAATGCAGCCTGGTGAAGTCACAGGTCTCCAATATCTCATCCCCTCCAATTTATCCGCATATGCCAATAACTTTCCCATGGCTCAGAACAACTTACCTATGGTGCAACTTAACCAATTCTCAAATCCCTTACATAATTTCCAAGGAACTACTCAAATTCAAGATTTTAATCGACATCCATGCTTGAGTAGCTATTCAACTTCTGATGAAGCAGATGAGCTACAACAAAGCCTCATTAATGAGAGGAAGCAGAGAAGGATGATATCCAATAGAGAGTCTGCACGCCGATCACGTATGCGCAAGCAGAAGCATCTGGATGAGTTATGGTCTCAAGTAGTTTGGCTTCGGAATGAGAATCATCAGCTTATCGATAAGCTAAACCAAGTTTTAGACTTCCATGACAAGGTTGTTCAAGAAAATGCTCAACTCAAGGAGCAGACTTCCAAACTCCGTCAAATGCTCACAGAACTACAGGTCAATAGTCCTTACCCCAACTTCAGAGAAATGGAAGACATTACCCCCAACACGCCATCTGAGAGCTGAGGCTGCACCGGTCTTATAATAGGTTGTATAGATAAGCCAGGGTGAGGAGGAAATTTTTTCCATTTCCGTTCTCCATTTATGGTTCTTCTGTCTCCAGTCTTTTCCTCCGTTAAGCCTGTAGCTTCATGCACGTGAAGAAGAACTGTTATAACTTCTGTTTGAGCATTTTCATTGATTAATGCTTAATTATGATTTTTACTTTTGGTATCAAAGACAGCTTAGTACTTCTAAACTTGCTCCATACGGAAATACATTGAGAGATACCTCATAATCCTATTTCAAATATAGTTCTAAAAACTAATGAGAAAAAGTTTATGATATGCACATAACAAATACAGGACAAACAACGGTTATTTGGCTCACCACAATTTGGTATCTTATTTGAGTGGTGTGGCTGGTGAGAAGAGTGTTTAATGATATTAAGGGGATTTAGTAGGGTTAATGGCATGGTTTTGTCCTATTCGCTTCCTCTTGAAATGGATTTTCCAAAGCTTTTTGCATCTACCTTATCTCTTCGTTTAGCTCCTTGCAGATCTATTCATATCTAGAGGTTATTATTTAGATTAGAATTACCTAGTATCTAGGGTATTTAGATTTAGTTAGTCTTTCTCCCTCAACTGTATCTCTCTATGAACCAATAAGAAAAAATAGCGGTCGACTTACAACAGAAATAACCAACTGTGATTAAGGTTCATATTGTGCCGTGAAGAAAGTAGTAGTTATGATGTTGAGTGTACTGAACAAGGAAAGCAATCAGCAGAACGAGTTGGATGATTTGGATGTGATGGAGAAATAAGTGGTGGTAGATGGTATCGATTAAAACTTGTAATAAGATTTCCCTTAAAAAATAAACTGAACAGAAAGATATCCAATGAAATTTTGAGCACTGCTAGCGCTAACAGCTTTTTGAAAGCTTTCATGTTTGTGAATAGACCAGAGAAATAGGTGTCAAAAACATCTACATAGGACCCAGAGTACTCCTCTGTTCACCCTTTGATAAACGACCTCTCTTTTCCTTCTATGATTTTTCATACAACAGAACCTTTTCACCTTTTGTTTCTTTCCTACACATTCTTCAACATCTTCTGTCAATTTCCAAAAATATAAATCAGTGCTGAATTCTGATATTGTACAACTGCTAATCCTATAAATTCAGATGTTATAGGATCACGTAGATTCGATAACAGTGGACAAAATAAAAGGAAAACCAGCCAATTCCAGTTGTGCTCCAAAGATCTGAGCACAAACAGATTGAGGAGATAAGCCCATTTCCTTGCTAAAGAAGATTTTTTTCATAATCCTCTGCACTATTTATGTGGGACTATTTGAGCTAGTAAAGTGGGACTATTTGGGCTAACCCAAGACAAGAGGAGACCGAAGTACTCAATGGTTCACGGTCTGAGCAAGAACTCAACAGACTAACAGTCATGCCATTTTCTTTATTACATGTACTTCTCTGAAAAACATTGGTGCATGTAAACGGGGTGCTCTACCAACTGAACTATAGCCCTTTGCCTGTGATACATATCTTATCATATAGACAATTTCTTGTCAAGATGAATAATCTGTGATATAATTTGTTTATTTGTTTGATTGGCATTGCTCGATTTATAATCTATCAATGTGATGGGACATAGCCCATTTATTTTTTCTTTGTTATGATAAGTGACTCCAAAATCACAAGTTTAGAATGTATGTCTTCACCCTATAATTTCTACCTTGTAAGGAGAAATTACTTGCTCCATTTACGCTAATCCACTAATTTATAGTTTCAGTACTAAGAACTAGCTCGTGACTTACCTAAGGCGATCAAACTCAAATAAGAACTTGCAATGAACACCACAAATGAATGCATAACTTCATAAAAGTGCATTGAATCAAAAGAGTTCTAACAACCACATCGATCCTTAAAACTCCAGCCCTAAAAAGACTTAGCCCGTAACTTCAAAGCAGAGAATTCATAAACAACAACAACAACAACAAACATTTTTCGATTAATCTTATTGGGTTGAGAAGAAAAATATGAGAAAAGAGTAGGAAAAGGAATCTGAAAGAGCAAGATTTCAAAATCCGACGAACACCCAATATCAGAACAAGCTTTCTTTCAAGAATCGTTCCAAAAACAACATGGAGATCTAAATGCTTTTCCAAGACATTGACCAGAGAGGGAGATTCATACCTGAAAATGCGCAGATGAGAAGTGGGAAATTGATCAAATGGGATTTTGATGATGCTTGCTCGCCACCATCTCCACACGGAAATGAATCAACTTTTGACGCCCCTCCTCCCCGCCTTCATATAAAAAAAATAGTGTTTTTATTATTATTATTTTTTTTTTACTTTAAAAGTATATAAGTTTCATGATTTATAGTTAAAACTATATTAGTTTAGATCTAATATTCAATTTAAATGTGAAAGTATAAGAAAAACAGTCACCTTATTTGACATTTCTAGAGGCACTCCATTTTGGCTTCGTTGTATCTAGAAAAAGAAAATGCATTATGATTTAGGTTAAGAAGTTATAAACGAATCTGATCATTTATTGTAAATCAAATCTACATTGCTACGCAAGTTCAAACTATGTGAATCCAAATCCATGGCGAAAGGCTCACCTAACTTCGCAAAAACTGATAATTTTCTGTTCAAATATTGTCCACCTACCAATGCCTCTGCTCTGGCGAAGGCTGCTTTTTATTTCTCATTTTCTTTATTTTATGGGTCAATTTCTCCATTGGAGAGTCTCCAATTTTGACCAGCAAAAGGTCTATATAGCGAGTTCATATGCACCTGTGGTGATATCTTCATTTCTCTTCAACACCCATTTCATTTGATCGCCTCCATCACAACCCCAGATCTCTATTTTCTTCGGATTTGCCTCTTTCTTTCTCGATCCAGAGGAAATTTTCAGGTTTGATTTCTTCTGGGTTTTCATTGAACTGCCATCTTCATTGTGCCCGCTATGTGTTTGCTGAAATGACCCCCACCCCCCCCTGGTTCGATTTGTCTCTGCCTACTCGCTATGCTACTCTTTGAAATCTAACTTCATTTCTGTTGCTTTGATTTTGAGAATTTAAATAGAAGATCAGGGGCTTAAGATTTTAGTCCCTTCCCTCATTTTTTTAGCTATTTATCTCTCTTGCTCTGAATTTTTTGTTTGGTTTCAACAATGATTTACAAGTTACAGATGGTGCTAATTCTTATGTTTTTTATATGATCTACTGATGATCTGCCTTTAATATGCACAAAGAAGATTGCTTTAACTTTTTGATCGTGCTTTAACCTTTAATATGCACAATGGTTTTTTTCATCTTCTTTTGGATCTGTAGCAAACTATATATTCCAAGTTCTAATATGAATCTTGAATGTGAGATAGGTAAAAGCATGGCTGCTCCTGCAAAACCTACAAGGATTGGCCTTGCTGGTCTGGCTGTTATGGGTCAAAACCTGGCTCTAAACATTGCAGAAAAAGGCTTCCCTATTTCAGTATATAACCGAACAAGCTCCAAAGTAGATGAAACAGTTGAACGAGCTAAAGCAGAAGGAGATCTTCCTCTCTATGGTTTCCATGATCCTGAATCCTTTGTTCAATCCATTCAAAAACCTCGTGTCATAATCATGCTTGTCAAGGCCGGGGCACCCGTTGATCAAACCATTAAAACCCTCTCTGTTTACTTGGAGAAAGGTGACTGTATAATTGATGGTGGTAATGAATGGTATGAGAACACTGAGAGAAGAGAGAAATCCATGGCTGAGTTAGGCCTGCTCTACCTTGGAATGGGAGTTTCAGGGGGTGAAGAAGGTGCTAGGAATGGTCCTTCCTTGATGCCTGGTGGATCTTTTGAAGCCTTCAAGCACATTGAGGACATTCTTATTAAGGTTGCAGCCCAAGTTCCCGATAGCGGTCCCTGTGTAACGTACATCGGCAAAGGTGGATCGGGTAACTTCGTCAAGATGATCCACAATGGCATAGAATATGGTGATATGCAGCTGATTGCAGAGGCATATGATGTTTTGAGAACTGTGGGGAAGTTGTCAAATGAAGAACTTCACCAAGTTTTCTCAGAATGGAACAAGGGCGAGCTGCTAAGTTTCTTGATTGAGATCACTGCAGACATTTTCAGTATCAAGGATGACAAAGCCGATGGCTACTTAGTCGACAAGGTTTTGGACAAGACGGGTATGAAGGGTACTGGTAAATGGACTGTCCAGCAAGCTGCTGACCTCTCAGTTGCAGCCCCTACCATTGCTTCTTCTCTTGATGCAAGGTTCCTAAGTGGTTTGAAAGAAGAGAGAGTAGAAGCAGCAAAAGTTTTTGGATCAGGTCTTAGCAATGTTGAGGTTGATAAAGCGAAGTTGATCGACGATGTGAGACAAGCTCTTTATGCATCCAAAATATGCAGCTATGCTCAAGGCATGAATCTGATCCGTGCCAAGAGTATTGAGAAGGGATGGGATTTGAAGTTGGGGGAACTTGCTCGAATTTGGAAGGGAGGTTGTATTATCCGAGCCGTGTTTCTCGACCGAATCAAGAGGGCCTATGACCGAAATCCTGAGCTAGCTAATCTCCTTGTGGATCCAGAGTTCGCAAAGGAAATCGTTGAACGACAGTCAGCTTGGCGAAGAGTTGTATGTCTGGCCATCAACTCGGGTATCAGCACCCCAGGAATGTCGTCCAGTCTCGCTTACTTCGATAGCTACCGGAGGGAGAGATTGCCTGCAAACTTGGTCCAAGCTCAAAGAGACTACTTTGGTGCTCATACGTATGAAAGAACCGATACCGAAGGATCGTTCCATACTGAATGGTTCAAGATCGCGAAACAACTCAAGAATTGAACGTATTCGTTACCATAATCCCGCATGTAAGAACACTTTTTATTTACAATAATCTCAGCTCTGAACTATTGTTGATCAGAGCTCATGTCATATGTGTTTTGGTGCCAATTTATTGTTTGAGTTTCTAGTTTGAATGTGATGTCCGATAAGGTAAGAGTTTCCATTTGAATTTTGTTTTCGGAAAAGTGTTCATTCACGAGACGACTAAATTTAGATGTCACTCGAACGTTGAAATATTAATACATGTTAAAGACACAGTGATACCAAAAGTAAGTCAACTATGAATTAAAAACTTTCATCCTCCCATTTACTCATAATGGCCTCCATAATGCCTATGTCCCATGCCACATTCATATTCAAGTTTAGACTTTGGAGATTCTTTTTTCTTTAAATTGAATAATCTTATTAATCTATTATCTTTATTTTTATTCTGGTTTCTTGTTGACCTTTAATAGCCATGTATCAAAAACCTGGACGAGCGAGTAGATATTAAAAAAACGAACACGTAAACAATTAAGTTGAGGAGCAACCGATCTTCTCTAGCATATTCCCTTCAAGATTGCCAAGTTTCTCGTAAAAGAGAAAAGTAGTGAATGGAACTAGTGCCCAAGGAGGGGCTTATGTGTGAGATCCCACGTCGATTAGAGAGGAGAACGAAACATTCCTTATAAGGTTGTAGAAACTTATTCATAGTAGACGCGTTTTAAAACCTTAAGAAGCAGTGGACTTGCTGTTACATGATGAGATGATAAACAAATGCTGTTAATAAATTTTTTGAGGTGTTGCCACGAGCGTTATTGGTTAGCACATTATAGCCTTTATTAATTCTAATAGCTCATGAGTGTATTTGAGAATAAGCTTCACATCCTCATCGGCAGCAGCCCATCTTTCATACCCGTATAGGTCAAAAGTGCTACAATAACGACATCTTATTTATACGAGTTGCTGCATATTTCAAGAGTAGATATAAACGAATTACGCATCGTTGAAATTGATTTTAAGCGTGTTACAAGTGATTAAGAAGAATCATAATCGTTTTTGAAGCTTGGTAAGATTGATGGTGAATAAATTCATTTTAAATCACTTTTGAAAACATGTTGTTTGACAAAATAGGTTCCCAAGAGCTTTTAAAATCTTATCCCCTCTTACTACCTTTTGTAAGTAATTCTCCTAGAATCATATGCTAATATTTGGAAATGTCTACATAAGTAAATATTCCATTACATTTTTCGTTCAATATTATACTACATTTCTAATTCGATATTAATTTTGTTCCCAAAGAGTATGAATGTTTTTTTATCCACTAACTTATAATTTAACCAATTTTTCAAACATTTATTTTTTAAAATGTTACTAAAAAAGAATATTTATTATTGGATCCACATCTTGATACATAAGAAGATCGATCAAAAGAAATTATTGAATAACTTAGTAAAATTGATATGACTGCTATAGTTGATCTTGAATAAACTGCTTATCACCTCTAGATGGAAGAAGATTTTCCGAAAAATGTTAAAATTTATCCCAAACTCTAGTAAACGAACTCAAGAAAGCTTAAGCATAATTTTGCAGAAAAATAACTCACGCTAAAATAGCTTTCTCATTAATTTTAATCAAGCACATGGAGATGAAAGAAACTCTAATCGGAAGCATCAAAACAAAACAAAATTGAAATAATGCGTTACTCGTTTCCGTCGATTTACACGTTCCCGCTGCAATCAAAATTAGAAGAATGGTCGAAACCGACCGGAAGCAAATCCAGAAATTGACCTTCAAAACCGCTCTGTCGATCGGGAAAAATTAGAAGAATCGGAAGGCGTAGCAGTAGCGAGGAAGGTCGGCGTGTGATTTCCGGCCATTATGACGACGATTTTAGGTTGTGGATCGTCCGCCGCTATCGATGGCGTATCGATCTTCGTCTTCTGGTCTTCTTCGTCGGAAGAAGAAGAGTATTTCCGGCAAGAGCAAACGAGGAAAATCAATGCGGTGAGGATGAGAAGCAGAGTTAGCGTTATTGCGCCGAAGAGATAAGGTACTGAAGTGTTCCAGAAGTGGTAATGGCCGGTTTTCATGGCGGAGGCGGAAGCGGAGGCGGCCAATGATCTCATTCCTCTCATTTTCTGTGTAGTGGTTTTTTCTGTCTTTATGGCAGTGGGAGGACTGGTTGCCGCGGCGTAATGTTAACAGAAAGTTTGGTCCCACGTATTTATAGCGCCCACCGCTCTGCTGTATTTAACACAGACTCCGAAATTATTTTATGAAAATTGGAAAATCTTTTATAAATTCAAAATTTTAATGTAAATTCACTAATTTTGACTTTACATATATTCGTAGTTATTTAACGTAATAATAATTTAATTTTTTTTCTCTTTTTCGTGAAAAGTATATAATATGAAATCGATACAAATTTAACTCTATTGATGTATTTTTCATAGCTCGATTTCTATATTTTTAGGCTTTTTTTTTTTTTAAATAATTCTTGTCTTTCTATATTATTAACAAAATTCAAATAATAAAAACAATTTTTTACAAACTAAATAACAAAACAAAATGTTTATAAATTTAATTTTCAAGAATAAAAAACGAATACCGAATATAATATTTTTGCAGTTTAGATTTGACATTTCATATTAAATTTTATATAAATTTCAATTAATCCCTCTAAATTTTATAATTCTAATATTTTTGGTGCCCATTAAATATGATTAAATTATAGTGCCTCAATAATTTGTTTTTTAAATATTAGATTGTAATCTTCTATCCCATATGAAAAGTTAATATTTAATAAAAATATTAATTAAGTCTGACTTTTTTGATAAACTTTGGTAATAATGTGGATTTGTCCCCTTCTGTCCTAAAGAAAATTTTGATATTTAAAAATAGCTAATGTAGTCTGACACCATGCTAAGAATGAGGAATAGAAATGGGATTTGCAATCTTCATTAATATTCACAACTACAATACAAGCTACTAACTAATACTTACAAATAAAAGGAAAATATTAATTAAATAAATCTTAAAAATAAAATAAAATATACTACTAATTATTATAATATATTCTCTTAGTCGGTAGATTTTTAATATTATAAAATCTCATTATAGTAAATATATATATATATATATATATATTAATAGAATATGAAAAGTATTTATAGTGGGAATGACCACATATATCTATTAATGCTATCAATTTTATAATGTCTTCCACTAAAGAAGTAAAGATTGGATGATGCACAAATCAAATCCCTTTGCCCTAAAATTTCCATTTCTTTTTTAATTTTTACAATAATAATTTTTTTCATCTCAATAAAGTTTTTTTCCCACCTTATTGAGCTGGGTTTTATAAAAAATAATTCATTAAATAAATTTCATTCTTTTATTTTTTATTTTTTAATTTGTACCTCGGATCGAAGAAGAGTGAGAAAACTTTTCCATAACAAACCCGTTTTAAAACTATGAAATTGACGACGATATGTAACGAGCTAGTAGTGACTATGGACTCTTACAGTTGATATCAAACCCAACTGTTGGACAGTGTGCTGGTAAGAATACTGGGTGTCACGGTAAACCGCAATTATGACACTAGACCTCCAAGGAGGTGGATTCAAAGATGTCAAAGAAGAGTGCATAACAAAATCAATTACAACAATTTTAAGAATTTGTCCACAAACCCAACAGCCCAGTTTCTCCATCATTTGGGATGAAGTTGTTTGAATTTTATCATAACGTCCATACAAATTAGAAGCTCGTAAATTCGTTAGATAACACTTTTGTTTTTCGTTTAAGCCGAATTTAAAAAATTAAAAAGAAGAGAAAACACGAGTATAAACGTAAAGATTATAGAACCTTAAATTTTTTAAACAAGAGACTCAAAACAAAATCGTTATCAAATGGCCTATACAATTGGATAAAAGAGCGAATAACGAACCCCTTAAACAACTTTGTATGATACACCAAACTTAAAAACTCCTATGCACCAAAATCTATGAAAATTTTCTCTTAATATACTAAACACTTAGGGAAAAAATATTAAAATTTTGGAAAGGATTTTCACCTTGGACCAGAGAGCTCCATGGCTTGAACCAACAACGATGAATCATCTGTGAGATCAGAGTATCTATCTGATGAAGAGAAGTCATGGGGTTTGCACTTTGAGGTATCAACTCTCTGAGAAGCTTCCCATCTGACAGCAAGCCCTTCTCCTTCAAGCATTCTGACAACTTCCGACATCTTTGGTCTGTGTCCTGGTAGATATTGTGTGCACAACAGAGCCACTTGAACCATCTCTTCTAGCTCAACTCTGTCGTAGTTTGCTTTCAGATCCTTGTCCACTAGCACTTCCAGCTTCTTCTCTAGGTGAATCTTCTTCACCTGTAATCATGAACTCGAAAATGTCATTCTTTTGCATTAAACTGAGCAAGAACGTGTAAGATCCCATATTAGTCGGAGAGGAGAACGAAACACCATTTATAAGGACGTGGAAACCTCTCTCTAGCATACACGTTTTAGAAACCTTGAGAGAAAGCTTAAAGGAAAGTCCAAAGAGGATCTACTAGCGGTGGGTTTGGGCTGTTGCAAATGATATCAAAGTCAAACATCAGGTGATGTGCCAACGAGAAGGCTGAGCACCAAAGGGGGTGGACACGAGGTAGTGTGCTAGCAAGCACACTAGGCCCCAAAGGGGGTGGATTGTACGGGTCCCACATCGATTAGAGAATGGAACGAGTGCCAACGAGGACGCTGGGCCTCGAAGGGGAGTGGATTGTAAGATCCCACATTGGTTGGGGAAAGAGTGTGGAAACCTCTCCCTGGCAGACGTGTTTTAAAAACCTTGAAGGGAAACTCGAAAGGAAAAGCTCAAAGAAGACAATATTAGCTAGCGGTGGGCTTGAGCTGTTACAAAACGTGAGAGATTTGTATTGTTTTTCTATAGGTGGAGCTTACCCAATCAAGAATGCCTCCTTTCTGATTAGCTGCTTTGCCAAACTCAAGGGCTCTCTGCCCTGTGATCAGTTCAAGAAGAAGGATTCCGAATCCGAAAACATCCGTTTTCTCCGATGACTGCCCGGTGGAGAGATACTCGGGAGCTATATGACCCACCGTGCCTCTCACGGCAGTTGTGACATGTGAATCTTGGTGGTCGAGAAGCTTTGCCAACCCGAAATCTCC